CAGAAACATCAAGATGGGCGGTATGGCTGGACCATAGAATTACATTGTTGAAAATGACCAAAGTAGCCATCTAATCCAGTCCATATATGGAAAGAATACTACTATAACATAATTAATGAGAAATTATCTAGCAACTGCTTAAAGACCTCTAATGAGAAGGAACCTCTCAAGATCATCCATTCTACTTTTAGATGATATGTTAGGAAGTTTTTTCTCATATCTAGTTTAAATTGACCTCTTTCAGTTTTGATCATTACTCCTGGTTTGGCCTCTGGAGCCAAATAGAAGAATTTTAACCTCTCCTTAATATGACTTAACTTTAAATACTTAAACACAGTTATTATATCTTCTTTGAGTATTTTCTTCTCCAGGCCAAATAAATATTCCCAGTTTTATCAACTGATCCTTATATGATATGGATTCAAGACCCTTCATCCTATCTTCGTGTGCATATACTTCATCCTTATCAGTGTTCCTTTTAAATTGTAATGAAAAGAAGTCCTCCTGTTTAAGTCTGACCAGGGAAGAGTAAAGGAGACCATCATGTCTCTGTTCTTGGAAGCTGTGCCCCTTAATGCAACCTAAAATCATGTTAGATATTTTTTGGCTACCAAATCACACTTCCGACCAATATTGAATTTATGGGTCACTAATACACTTAAATCTCTTTCAAAGCATCTACTGTCTCAACTGTTCCCCCAGTCTTGTACTGATAAATTTTACTTTTTGTATCCAAATGAAAGACTTTACATTTATCTCTGTTGAATTTAATCCTGTTAAATTCAGCCCAGTGCTATAGCCTGTCAAGATCTTTTTTTCTTTCTATCATTTAGTGTGTTAGTTATCCCTCACAGGTTTGTGTCATCTGCCAATCTGATGAGCATAATATCTAGACCTTTATCTCAGTCGTTTGGGAAAAAAAAAGTTTAACAGGAGATAACCAAACAGGTTTCTTTGATATTCCACCAGAGACCTCCTTCCAGTATAACATTGAGCTGTTAATAACTGCTTGTTGAGTGTATCTATTCAGCTGGTTCTGAATCCATATAATCAGACAATTCTATAGTTCACATATTGCTATCTTCTCCAAAAATTAGTATGGGGTACTTCTTTAAAAGCTTTGCTAAAGTCTAGGTAAATTATGCCCATTCCACTTCCTTCATCTGCTAGTTATTATGCTATCACTGTAGGTGGCTATTAGGCTAACACTGCAAAATGTAAGGATCAAATGAAAGAATATTTGGTTAGAAAAAAAAGAAAGACAGCACAATGACTGGCACGTGGTGGCCCTATATAAATGTTTATTCTCTTCCCTTTCCTTCCATAGTAGTATACATGTCAGAAAAGGAAAAGGACTTTAAATACCAAACTGAGGAGTTTGTATTTTATTCTATAGACAGTAGGGAGCCCCGATGGTTCTTGAGACGGAATTTTATCAGTCCTTTATTTTAGCAATATCATAGTGGTAGGTTTATTTTATTTAATTACAACAGAAAAGTCTCTATACTCAGTCTCGTTTTGTGTGGTTTTCTGCTTATAAATTAAAAACATATTTTTATTAATTTATTTTGATTTATCAACAATCACATAAGCTTTCGAGTTTTAAATTTTTTTCCCCCTTTCTCCCTCCCTCCCCATAACAACTCACAATCTGATATAGGCTATACATATATATTCCTATTAAACATAATTTCACATTAGTGATGTTTTAAGGAAGAATTAGAACCAATAGGAGGAATCATCAGAAAGAGGAAACAAAACAAAACAGAAGAAAAAAAGAGCAAATAGCATGCTTCGATCTGCATTCAAACTCCATAGTTCTTTCTTTGGATGTGGATGGCATTTTCCATCACGAGCCCTTTGGAGATGTCTTAGATCCTTGCATTGCTGGGAAGGGCTAAGTCTATCAATGTTAGTCACTGCACATCATGGCTGTTGCTATGTATAACTTTCTCCTGGTTCTGCTCACTTTACTCAGCATCAGTCCATACAAGTGTTTCCAGGTTTTTCTTAAGTCTGCCTGCTCATCATTTCTCATGAAACAATAGTATTTCATTACATTCATATACCACAACTTGTTCAGCCATTCCCCAATTTTTGGAGATTGATGGGCATTCCCTCAATTTCTAATTCTTGGCTACCACAAAAAGAGCTGCTATAAATAGTTTTGTACATGTGGGGCCTTTTCCCACTTGTATGATCTCTGTGGGATACAGCCCTGGAAGTGCTATTGCTGGGTCAAAGGGTATGCACATTTTTGTAACCCTTTGGACATAGTTCCAAATTGTTCTCCAAAATGGTTGGATCATTTCATAACTCTACCAACAGTGCATTAGTGTTCCAATTTTCCCACATCTTTTCCAACATTTATCATTTTCCTGTTTTGTCATGTTGGCCAATCTGATAGGTGTGATGTGGTACCTCAGAATTGTTTTGATTTGCATTTCTCTAATCAATAGTGATTTAGAGCATTTTTCCATATGACTGTAGATGGTTTTAATTTCTTCATCTGAGAACTGCCTGTTCATGTCCTTTGACCATATATTAATTGGGGAATGACTTGTATTCTTATAAACTTGACTTAATTCTCTATATATTTTAGAAATGAGGCCCTTATCAGAGACACTGGTTTAAAAATTCTTTCCCAATTTTCTACTTTCCTTCTAATCTTAGTTTCATTGGCTTTGTGCAAAAACTTTTCAATTTAATGTAATCAAAATTATCCATTTCATAATATTCTCTATCTCCTGTTTGGTCATGAATTCTTCTGTTCTTTATAAATCTGATAGGTAAACTATTCCTTGCTCTTCCAGTTTGGTTATAGTATCAGCCTTTATATATAAGTCATGAACCGATTTTGACTTTATTTTGTTATATGGTGTGAGATTTTGGTCTCTGCCTTGTTTCTGGCATATTCTTTTCCAGTTTTCCCAGCAGTTTTTGTCAAATAGTGAGTTCTTACCCAAGAAGCTGAGGTCTTTGGGCTTATCAAATAGTAGGTTACTATAGTCATTGACTATTGTGTCTTCCATACCTAACCTATTTCACTGATCCACCACTCTATGTCTTAGCCAGTACCAAGTAGTTTTGATGATTGCTGCTTTATAATGCAACTTAAGAGCTGGAACACTGGAACCTTCCCCTGCATTTCTTTTCATTAGTTCTCTTGATATTCTGGACCTTTTGTTATTCCAAATGAATCTTGTTATTATTTTTTCTAGCTCTATAAAATCAGTTTTTGGCAGTTTGATTGGTATGGCACCGAGTAAGTAAATTAGCTTAGGTAGAGTTGTCATTTTTATTATATTATCTTGGCCTACCCATGAGCAACTGATGTTTTTCCAATTATTTAGATAATTTAAAATATTGAAAAGAACATTTGTATCCATGTAGATTAAGAGGAAAGATTCAATCTGAGAAGTATTGTGAAGGAATGTCACTGTCAATCAAAGATAAAAGAAATGCATATTGACAAATTAATGGATAAGTTAGTAAAAGGAAAAACAAGGTAAATTTAAGAAAATATAGTATCATAGAACTCAGTAAAGTTGAGTTTTAGAAAGGAGAGGGCGGTTTTAATTAAAAAGAATTTTAGAGATAATCTAGTCAATCTTCTACCTCCTTCCCAATTTAATAGGTGAGGAAACTGAGGTCCATGAAAGTTAATTGACTTCTCCACAGTTAAACAACAAATAAGTAGCGGAGCAAGCACTTGAACACAATCACTTGACTCCTGACCCACCAAATCATTCTGTAGCCACTGTAGAGTTAAATGCAACACAGTTAAATGCTGATAAAAATCACTGGATTTGGCCACTACCTTTGGAGACCTTAGAAGGACTACTTTGAATACTGGACAGGGAGAAAAGCTAAGATTACAAGGTTATCGGAGAAATTGGTGATGAGCGATTAGAATTGGTTACCAGTGACCACTTACTTGAGAAATTTAATTTTGTTAGAAGTAGCAAAGTGTTAAAGTAGATTTTTTTAAATGCAGAAATTGTTGGAGAGGCAAAGGAGACAGTAGAGAAGCCAAAGCAGGGGAGGGGGAGAATCCCCTATTTCTTGTAGAATAAAATACACACTCCTTAACCTGCCCCTTGAGGATTTCTATAATCAAGGTTCATTTCACAACCTTAGTTTTTTTTACTGCCTTCATTCACATTATTCTCCGTAATATCCTTTACATTCCAGTCCAAAGCTACTTTGTATTGTAGTTAGTCAGTAAATATTTATTTAGTACCTGTTCTGTGCCAGGCATTGTGCTAAGCTCTTGGGGATACCAAGAAAGGCAAAAAGCAATCTCTACCTGCAAGGAGCTCCCTGTCTAATGGAGGAAGCAACAAGCAAACAACTTTGTAAAAACAAGTTAAGTCCCTGATAAATTGGAAATAACCAACAGAGGGAAGACCATAGAATTAAGATGGTCAGGCACAGCTTCCTATAAATGATAGAATTTTAGCAGGGATTTGAAGGAAGTCAGGGAAGCCAGGAGGCAGAGATAAGGACTGAGAGTATTTCAGGCATGAAGAACAGCTAGTGAAAATGCCTGGAATTCTGCTTAACTCTTAACTTGTTCTCTCCAGTAGATCCAAATATCTTTGAGCACAAGCAGGGATTGCCTCATTTTTCATGTTTGTATCTCCAGTGTGTGGCACAGAGTAGCAGCTTCATAAATGTTTGTTGCATAAAATATGTTAGAAAGGAAAGAATTGAGTATGCAAACCCAAAGTTTCTCGTGATACAGGAAAGGGAAGGATATAGAGCATGAATAAATGCTTATTGAATTGATGATGAAAGGTTTAATTTTAGAAAAGGAAGGAGGCATCTCCTGTGTCACTGTGGAGAAGGATGAAAGGATAGTTGCATTATTTAGAAGATGGAAAGGAAGATGATCATATCAAGTGGCCTTATTTCAGAAAGTATGATGGAGTAAAGTATCAGTAGTTGAATTTTATAGGAGCAACTACCAAAGGCTACCCCATTTCTATTTATTTAAGGATGCAAATGAAGATCCTGGAGAAGATGTGGCTCTCCTTTCGGTCAGTTTTGAGGACACAGAAGCTACTCAAGTGTTTCCAAAATTATACCTGTCACCACGCATCGAACAGTAAGTACCAGTGCATTTGACTTAATGCCTTCTTATTGTTATTCTGAAGATAGCATTATTGAAGTATTTCTTACTTGTATTGCTTTAAATGAACCATTAAATTATGCTTTCTCTATAATTGATGTGTTTTTGCTTGAAAAGGAAGTGTGTTGGGAGTTTGGAGTAGAGAGAAATCAAGTTCAAAGTTGCAGTGATAGTTTGGTAAATTTTGTAGATCAAGATTAGTGCCTTTAGTTGAATAATTGGAGACAGGCATAGTGCCTTTATGGAAAAGGATTGGTAGAATGCAAAAATTATAATAGTCTCAACATTATGCTGGGCAGCTCGGTGGCACAGTGGATTGAGTACTGGGCGTGGAGTCAAGAAGATTCTTCTTCCTGAGTTCAAATCCGGCATCCAACAGTAGCTCTGGACCCTGGGCAGGTCACTTAACCCTGTTTGCCTCTATAACCATTTGCCTCCACTGTAGGCCCTCTTTTTTCCCAATAGCATCCATGACTTGTGTGGTGGTGTTGTTCCAATCATTCTTCAGTCATATTTGACTCTTTGTCACTCCATTTGGGATTTTCTTGGCAAAGATACTAGAGTGGTTTGCCATTTCTTCCTTGAGTTCATTTTCCAGATGAGGAAACTGAGGCAAACAGGGTTAAGTGACTTGCCCAGGGTCACATAGCCAGTAAGTGTCTGAGGTCAGATTTGAACTCAGGAAGATGAGTCTTCCTGACTCCACACCTGACACTCTATCCATTGCACCACCTAGCTGCCCTTTACTTGCCCTCATACTCCTTATGATTTGGTTGCTTGATACTCTCCTTCTTATCAGTGATTTTCCCAATATATATAGCACTCAGAATTAAACACAGTACTCCATTTCTTTTCTATTTTTCTTTTCTTTTCTTTTCTTTTCTTTTCTTTTCTTTTCTTTTCTTTTCTTTTCTTTTCTTTTCCTTTCTTTTGTATAAGGCAACTTTGTTCTTTTTTTTAATGTATTTTATTACATGTAAAAACACTTTTTTAACTTTTTTTTTGAGTTTTGATTTCCAGATTCTGTCCCTCTCTTCCTACCACCTTTTCTTGCCTCCCTGATACAGTAAGCAGTCAGATATAGGTTATACATGTGCAATTATGTAAAACATTTCCATATTACTCATTTTGTCCAAGAAGACAAAAAAAAATGAAAGAAAGTGAAAAATAGCATATTTCAGTTTATATTCAGACAATATCAATTCTTTCTCTGAAGATGGATGACGTGCTTCATGATGAATCGTTTAGGATTATCTTGGATCATAGTATTGCTGAGAATCGCTAAGTCATTCACCATTCTTCGTTGTGCAGTATTGCTGTTACTAGGTACAACATTCTTCTGGTTCTGCTTACTTCATTTTGAATCAGTTCATGTAAGTCTTTCCTGCTTGCCACTTCCTATAGCTTATATATTCCATCACAATCATATACCACAGTTTATTCAGCCATTTCTTAGTTGATGTGTATCCCCTCAATTTCCAATTCTTAGCCACCACAAAAAGAGCTGCTCTAAATATTTTTGTACTAATAGGTCCCCCCCTTTTTTTTATCTCTTTGGGATATAGACCTAGCAGTGGTATTGCTGGATCAGTGGGTATTCTAGCCCTTTGGGCATAGTTCCAAATTCCTCTCTGGAATGGTTCGATCTCTTCACAACTCCAACAACAGTGTATTAGTGTCCCAGTTTTCCCATATCCCCTCTAATATTTATAATTTTCTTCTTTTGTCATATTAGCCAGTCTGGTAGGAATGAGGTGGTACCTCAGAGTTATTTTAATTTGCAATTCTCTCCATTTTTTTTCTGATGAGAGCAGAGTAAATACAGCAAAACTATGACTAGGGGTAATGCAGCCTAAGATTGCATAAGTGTTTTTGTTTCTGTATTCCTCTGTTAATTCATGTTGAGATTATAGTTCACAAAAATGCCCTGATCTTTTCAGCCAAACTATAATCTCACAATGCTTCCTCCAGCTTGTATTTGTGAAGTAAATTTTTTGAAGCCCGTTGTGAGATTTTATATTTATCTTTGTTTAATTTCATCTTATTAGATTAAACTCAGTGTTCTAGCATTTCAAGATCTTTTTGGACCATGATTACATCATCCAACACAGTCTTTTTCCCCTTCCTTATGCCATCTGCATATTTGATAACTATCTGTGCCTTTAAGTCATTGATAAAAATGTTAATAGTACAAGACCAAGGACAGATTCTTGAAACATTCCACTTGATACTTTCTTTTACTTTCACACATTAATGGTTATTCTTTGGTTTAGCAATTCAAAAATTTATAGATATACCTAAATATACTACTGCCTTACCTGTGTCTCAGCATCTTAATCATAAGAATAACATGAGAAACTTTATCAGATATTTTGCTGAAATCTAGACAAACAAGTGCTACCATATTTCATTGTTCTATCAGGTTATTAACACTGTTCAAAAAAGAAATGAGATTTGTCTGGAATGGCTTGTTTTTGATGAAGCTATGATCAGTTTTGGTTATCACTGCTTCCCTTTTTTAACTTTCATAAGGTAACCCTTTAATAATACTTTCTTGAATCTTACCTGGAATTGAAGTCAAGCTGCCTAACCTGTAGTTTACAGATTGAGTATTCCCTTTTTTTGGAAATTGGACATTAACATACTTTTGAGCACAATGTCTCCTCTCCCATTTTTTTGTAATCCTTCATTGGTGTTTTATATTGCAGATAATCACATTTAGCAGTAATTTTTGACTTCAGCATGTCACTCTTCTAGGTCTGGCAATTTGAACTTTGTTCTCTTCCTCTTTTCAAATGTAAGCTACTTGCAAGTAGGAATTATGTCATTTATTATATTTGTATCAATACTGCTTGGCATAATGCGTGATACATAATAGATCCTTAGTAAATGTTTGTTTATTGATTGTTTTCAAAAGATTGTTCACCTTAACAGGAGAAAGAAGTAGGAACAGAATTTAGTAGTTCTACCAGCTCTCTGTCGTCATATCTACCCTGATACGATTCCATACCTGATCCTTTTCTTTTCCCTAGCACAGCTGGAGAAATCTTTTATTTATAATTCTTTTCATTGCTTGTCAGCCTCAGCAGCAGTCATCTAAACTATCTATTTTGGGTTAAAGAATAGAGAGATAGATCAATTAAACTAACTAGAAAAGGCAGATTCAGAAATCTAGACTCAAAAAACCAACATTTGATAAAATGGAAAAACATAAGTTACCCAGAGGAAAACTCTCAAATTGGGGGGGGGGGTGGAGAACTGCTGGGAAAATTGGAAAGCCATCTGACAGAGAAATTAGACTTAGATCAAATTAGGATTAGATCATCTTAAGCCACATTCCACAATATATTCTAAATAGATGTATAACTTTAATATTAAAAATCACACTTTAAGAAAATTAGAAACATCATATAGTTCTCACAGCTATGGGTAAGAGATAATTCTTAAACAAGATGTAGAGGTAATTATAAAAGAGAAAACAGATTAATTATTTGAAACTGAAAAATTGTACAGACAACATTGATGCATCTAGGATAAAAATAGAAGTGGTCAAATGGGAAAAGATCTTTGTATCAAATTTCTCTGGTAAGAGTTTGATATCTAAGATATTTATATTTGTATAAATTCCTCTGTTTTGTGTTTGCAGTTTTGTTCACATATAACTGTATGTAATATGGCCTGGTTATTTTTATTCTGCTTTTGCTGTGATTTCGCCTTGCTTATTTGCTTTTTCATTAATTTTTCTGCTCTTTTTTAGTCAGAATAGCTAATGATTTGTTAATTGGTCTTTTCAAAAACTTAGATTTTAATTAATTAATTGATTTGATTTTTGGTGAGGCAATTGGGGTTAAGTGACTTGCCCAGGGTCACCCCACTAGTAAGTGTCAAGTGTCTGAGGCCAGATTTGAACTCAGGTCCTCCTGACTCCAGGGCCAGAGCTCTATACACTGTGCCACCTAGCTGCCCCAGATTATAACTTTTTTGATCATTCTTATGGCTTTTTCATTTCCAATTGATCTATTTCTCCTCTGATTTTTAATATTTCCTCTTTTGTGCTAATTTTAGATTTATTTGTTGATTTTCTAATTTTTTAAAATGTATATTCAATTCATTAATCTATTTTTCAGTTTTTTATGTAATTGTGTAATTATATAATATGATTTTTAAAATAAGGCTATGATTTTACACTTGAGAACTGCTTTAGCTGCATATTAGAAATTTGGTATGTTCTTTCCTCATTTTATTTTACGTAGTTTTCATTGTTTCTATGATGTTCTTTGATCCACTCATTATTTAGGATTTCATTGTTAAGTCTTCATTTGGGTCTGTATTTTTTGTTTGTGGTCTCTGAACCAATTTCTCTTTATTGCATTGTGGTCTGTAAAGAATATATTGATTATGTGTCCCTCTTACATTTGTATGTAATATGTCTATACCTTAGTATATGGTCAATTTTTGTAAAAGTTCCATATGTTGCAAAGAGGTGCGCGTGCACACACACACACACACACACACACACACACACACACACACGTACACACACGTTCTTTTGCTGTCCCATTTAGAAAATGCCATGAGTTTTTTAACTTCATTTTCTTCAGAAATTTGCCCAGTTACATATTTTACCTTTTGGTTATCTTTCTGGAAAGATGGAGGGGTAACTGGAATATCAAGGTGGGTTTTGATATCAGTCTGTGTTGAGTTCTTGGGTCTACTAGTGTAGCCATGCTTCCAGTAGTTAGCTTTAGAACATCCATAGAAGGACAACCAAATTGTTGAAGGCCAGAGTTCATTTTGTATAAAAATCCATCCATGAGACTGCGGATATTTAGCCTGAAAAAGAGAAGATTTACTAGAGCAAATGTTCTTAACTTTTATTTAACAGTCTGGTGAAGCTTATTTACATCTCACGATAATTATCTTAAATAATTGAAGAAGATTCTAATTTTCAGTAAATGTTAATGAAAATAAAGATG